TCATTCTGATCCACGCAAAACAAAAATAATTGTTATCACCAATTAAAATACGCTCTCCCGAATTTAATCGGTGACACATAACAGAATATTTACTTGGCTCTTATGGTGAACTACATTTTGTTGTATATTTTATTGCTTGTCTAGACAAGCTAGCAGAAACACCTAATATAAATGCAATTAATTGGTATCATCTGCAAATTGCTAGGGAAGGTAATTATACAAGTCAAGAAAGTGCACAGAAATTTTGGCAAGGCATTATATCACATATGGAGGAATTAAAGAATGTTTTTAAAAACATTGACCCAACAGCAGTTTGGCAGAATAGTTATCACGATGTCATCAAAACTTATCCCAGAATTCGTGGCATTACTATAGACAGGAATATATATATTACATGTCTGTTTTGTATTTGATGAATCACAATGTCTTCTAAAAGTTGGGCCTAAGATGAATGCAAGAAATCAAGGTAAAGCTATTGGTAAAAACAATGCATTTAATAATATGAGACAAGCTTTAATACGATTTGATAATTATGCAAATGTGTTTATCATCAAATCAAACATTTTGCCTTTGTATATAATATTGTATATATATATCTGTCATTTCCTATAAATAAATAAATAAATAAATAAATAGGCGGCATGAATGAATTTGAAAATAAAAGTCATAACAGTAAAGTGAAAGCTGTTGATGGCATTAGCAAGTTATTTTACTTTAAATGGCCAATTATGTACAAGCACAATATTTGCCACATATTGGAGAATTCTTACAATTTTCATTGTCAAGAACTATTAAAAAATCAACACCTATAAACAAGTCATTATATGGATCATTTCTACTAATACAATTCTTGAAAACCCATGGAATATATTTCATTCTCTCATGCCCAGCATGAGAAAAAATAAATAAATAAATTTATACCTGTATTTATCATTATCATTCATTTATTTTTATAGATATAGATAAACAAATAATAAATGGTAAATCAAATAATAACAATACTCAATCAGTATATGTTATATTATGAATAAATTTTCTTTCTACATATATAACTGTTGAATAATTTTTTGAATTAGAAAATGGACGAGCATTGAAAAGCCAACAAAAATATGGAATAGATGAAGAGGAAAATGCACAACTAGGAAAATAAAATATCACCCTTGAGGGACACTTTTTAACGGGAAATACAAGCAAAACTGATCGAATGACAGCAAAGGAAATGGCGAACCAACTTCAAATTTTAGTTAATAAAGGTGGAATTCAAGCTGAGAATATTCCCAAAGTGGCAACAGTTGCAAATTGGATCATAATGATATGCAGCAAGCTTGAAAAAATATTATCAGCACAAAGAATAGAGAAATCAAATCCGTCAGAAATTTAACGGTAACTGATATTAAGAAGATGAAGAGCCGCCGGAGTAACAATAACACGGCAAATTTCTTGATCGCCGATCAACGCATTTTCTTGTGTCATGCACGATCAACAATTAATTAATACGCGCGGATTATTTATTTTTTATAAAAACTATAACAAATATATTTATTATTTCTAATCAGACTAATATTAAACACGTAAATGATTAAAAATCCACAGGATACTGAGATAGTTACTCATAAGCATCAACAATCATCAAATGGAAAAATGGACAAGAAAAAAATGTGGTCCTTGGATGATTTTGAACTTGGTGCTCTGCTTGGAAGTGGAAGATATGGAGAGGTTTATAAAGCGAATGAAAAGTTAAGCGGTAAAACTGTTGCAATAAAATTGTTATACAAAAAAGAAATAAGAGATGCTAAAATGGAAGACCAATTGAGACGCGAGGTTGAGATTCAAGTTAATTTAAGGTATATGTGATATAAAATGATGATAATTTGTAGATATTGATTGTTTGCAAGATTTTTAATTTATCTCTATTGTTATATATTTGATTGGAATAATTAATATGATAATATCATAGACATCCCAATATTCTTCGTTTATATGGATATTTCTTTGATGAGATGCATGTATGCTTAATCCTGGAATTTGCTGAAAAAGGTGAATTATATAATAGTCTAAAAAAATATGGTAAATTCCCTGAACGAAAAGCTGCACGTGTATGTATCTAGTATGCTTTTATGATGGAAATTCAATTCATTACATATAGCAGCAATTAAAAATTTCTTTTTACTTCAAAAAATTTAGTACGTTTCTCAAATATCAGATGCTTTGATTTATCTCCAAAAGAATCATATAATTCACCGAGATATGAAACCGGAAAATATACTGTTGGCAGCTGATGGTAGAATCAAGATATCAGATTTTGGATGGGCTGTTCAACATACTAATCCTGAGTTAGTGTTTAATCATTTATTTTAGGAAAAAAAAATTAAAATTCACTTCTTTTATTATTTTTGTTGCAATAATATACAGTGTAAGACGCCGAACCTTTTGTGGCACTCTTGATTATATGGCTCCTGAAATGGTTAGAATCAAAGAAGGTTATGATTTGAAAGTTGATTCATGGGCTCTTGGTGTCTTGTGTTATGAATTTTTGATTGGAGCACCACCATTTGCAGATACACCTAATACATATGAAACTTTTGAGAGAATAATGAGGGTTGACTTCCAATTTCCTGATGAACTATCGCCCGAGGCTAAAGATTTAATTTCTTCGGTAATAATATGATTTGTTTATTGTAAAGGTTCATTTTCAGATAAGAAAACATAATGAATATAATAATTATTAAAACTACTATTAATAATTTTTTCAACTAGCTATTATGTCGAGATCCTAAGCAACGTATACCACTTGAAGACGTTAGTAAACATCCTTGGATTGTGAAAAATTTAAAGTATTTGAAATCATTAAGTTAAAGTTTCTTTATATAATGTTAAATCATATAATCAATGATTTTTTTTTTTTATTAATTACTAAAATAAATGAACAATTTGAACAATTTGATTATTAAGCATGTACACACACACAAATATATGTGTGTGTGTGTGTCAAATTTTAGTGTTAAATTATTAATTACTCTGAATATTTATTAAATTTTTTTTTCTGAATTATTATTATTATTTTTCTATTTATTTTTTCAATTTATAATAACTCTAATATAACATAATAATAAATAAAGGTTTCCTTTCTAACTACCCTCACGAAATTTTTTGGGACTAACAAGCCACTCCTCTTCATCATAATTAAAGTTTCTTTTTCTATCATTAATTATAAATTCTGATTGATTGCCAGTTACTATTTTTTTACTTTGAACAAATTCTATTGCGTCAAATCCAAAACAAGATTCCTGCAATTCCAATAAATCATCCTTGCTCAATTTTTTACAGCTAGAACCAACATCTGGTTTGTTGTATCCCTTAATATCTAGTCTTGTTTTTTGTTTTTGACTATTATCAGCATAAGATACATAATTGTCGCCGAAATTAATTACTTGTGATGTCGTAAGTGGTGCTGATTCTTGAGATTTTTTATCCCAATGTTTAAGTGATGACAACAATAATGATGATTCTGATGTGTTTTCTTTGATGTGACCCTTTAGATCAGCTAGATTAGGTGAACATGTAATAATATCAACTTGTTGACAAGTAGTTGTAGCAGGTGTAGATGATGATTGTTGGAAATTGTTATTATGAAGATGATCGTTTTGTAATGTTTGATTTTGAGTCATTATTAAATCCTCATTGTTATTTACACCTAGAGTTGAATAATAATTAGTGGCAGATGTGAATGATGGTAATAATAATTCTTGGGAATTGTTTATTTGATCAGATTCTTTTTGAATGATATTTAATTCGTTTTGATTGGATGATAGGGTAGACGAGATATCATCGACATTTATAATTGCTACATGTGGCGATGATGCCTCAAGTACAACATTATTGTTGTTTGTATCTTGTTGATCTGTTAAAGTTGGCTGATCACACGAGAATTCATCAATATAAAGTTGATTATTATATTTATCAAGAATATTTTCTGTAGTAGAAGTTTTTTTGGTAATAACTCCCCACATTAAATCATCAATAGTATCCTTTGCAATCATGTATTTTATAAACACCTTATCTTTACGACCAATTCTGTGTGCACGATCTTCTCCCTGAAACAATGCAGTAGGATCCCAAGTCAATTCAGCAAATAGTACAATGTCGGCAGCAGTCAGCGTAATACCAGTATTTGCAGCCATGATTGATAATAATGCAACTCTTGTTTCGTCATTTGTTTGAAATCTGTTGCAAAACATTCGCCTGTCGTTTGATTTTGTATCGCCGTCAATACGTATATAGGATTTGGAATTATAAGTTTTTATACAATTCTCTATATCATCAAGGACCATTTTGTGATAGGCGAAGATAATGAATTTTTTATCAGTGTTTTCATATAAATCTTTGACATAGTTTACAATGAATGGAGATTTAGCGTAACCAGTGAGTGAATAAATTTCAGATAATTTGTCTCTGGATTTTTTTGTATTTTTTTCAGAATCATTTTGATTTAATGAATTACATGCTTTGTCAAATGAATCCTTGCTATTTTCCAGTAATAATCTTATTTTATCTTTTAGATCCGGCTTTATATCACAGAATACTGTCTCACGTTCTTTTGGTGGTAGATCAGAACAAACATCAGATTTTAATCGCCTGATCAATACTGTTTTTCTCAACACGGCATTAAGCTCATCTAGATTGGTAGCACCAGTTTTGATCCACCTTTTGAAGTTGTCCATGAAAGCACCACAATATCTAAGCGCAAATTCCATTTCATTTGAAAAGATCACAGGATCAAGAGAATTTAACAAAGAAAAGATTTCAATTGGTCTGTTTGGAATCGGCGTTCCAGTGATCAAGATGGAATGTTTTGCTTGTTTAATCATAGGAATTAAAGCACGTGCTTTTAGAGTTGTTGGATCTTTGATGTTGTGAGCTTCATCTGCAATAACTATATCAAATTTGTAATTTTTTGCTAAAAGGCCAGACTCTTTTGAAAACCTTTCATATCCGCAGATTACAAAATTGACGCGATTACTTTTTTTGTTTTTTAATTTTCTACCATCATTGATCTCTATTTGAGTTTCAGGTATTTTTAACCACGTGATGATTTCTTCTTTCCAGACATGTAAAACAGATTTAGGACAAACAATTAAAACTGGCCAGTTTGCCCTATAGTATGAGCATAATGTAAGAGCTTGCATTGTTTTGCCGAGTCCTTGTTCATCGCTTAATAAAGCACGGCCCTCTCTGATCACCATTTCAACGACTCCTTCTTTTTGATGAGGAAGAAGCTTTTCCCAGAGTTCTTTTTCAACTCGTGATAATACTTGCGAGCTGGCAGCATTTTTGGAAATGCGATTTCTCTTTTTTAATTTTGATTCAAGAGCATCCAACGAGAAATGTTTAGATTCACGATTTGTAAACATTGTTAATGAAAAAATTGAAATTTTGATGTTGATGTTGATCGTGATGGTGGTAATAATAAACAGTTTGTTTTGTACTACATTATTGACTTATTGACAAAGATGTCTGATGAATTCATGCGCTTAAGATACGATACAAATTTGAAAGTGTAACAAAATCATTGAATGAATCGGGCTCATCATCGTATGATGTAAAATTAGAGTTGGGAGGATCATGATGCTAAAGTATTCCGAGCTCATACTTTAAAGCAGGATTTATCAAACCATTTTATGATGAAAATGATCCAAAGACCGTATGATTTTATTTTGAAAAGGAAATATTTCTCAAAAATATTTGAATTTATTATAATAAGATTTGTTAGATTTTTATTAAGAATCTGAATGTGATGATGAATTGGTAATATTCAATTGAAGAACAAGAATAGGCTGAACAAAATTTAATTTATACTTGTCATTCAAATTACTACAAGATTATTTTAAAACCAAATTATATATATATGACTGCGATTGAAAACCTATGTCAATAATAACAGTAAAGATGATGATCTTGAATTTGGAATTTGGATCCAATGGGAATTTGACAAATTGAAAATTTTGGGGATAAAAATATTGCAGATGATTTAATTGGATTAAAAGATGTACCAAACCGATCAGTTTGAAACTTTTCAATACCATCATCATAATTTTTTTAAACAACCACTATGATTAATAATCAAAGAAATTTATTGAATTTAGAAACGAAAGTCTTGCTTTCTAGCTAAGTTGATTTGATGAAGCTAATGATCTTTACACTGAAGATAATACACCATATAAATTTAAATTGATACATTGTGGGACTCGAGATGGTTTTCTAGATCAGCTTTTGAAAAACTATAGCTACTATGAAAATAAAGAATCGGAAGAATTGATCGATAGTTGTAACCCAGTTTACTGGAATGGAGTATAAAAGATGATTATTGTATCAGAGCTGATAAAGCTTTTTATTGAAGATTGATGGAAATCAGATAAATAATTCATCAATAATTCATCATAGAGAAGAAATTATGCCGTTTAACATCGTTACGTTGATTATGTCCAGTATGTAAATAACTTGTGTGTTCATTGTTTAGAAGGATTTGAAATTTAAAACTAGTAAAGAAAACTTAACTATTCTCCATTTAGAGTAAGTAATATTTTATATATTTCTTACAAATTTAACTATTAAATATAATAACTGTGACACGGAAATTTATTTATCATTCATTACTACTATGATGATGATTTTTTTTTCGTTTTCGTTGGTTTCGTTGATTTCATTGGTTTCGTTGATTTTGTTGATTTTGTTGGCGTTGGTGGCGGTGTTGGTGATTTTGAAGAAGGCGATGGTTTTTCTTGTTCTGATTATCAATAAAATGCCTTAATTGATATAATGTAATTTATGAATGTGACGAGGATAACATAAACTAACCTTTCTTATCAACATCAACAACGACTCCCTTTTGATTACGTGCATCAAAAACAATATCGTCAGGGCTTGGTACATTAAAATCAAAGTCATGGATATTTGAATCTGTTGAAGAATAAATTTCAAAGGTGTAAAGTTCATTATTAGGCGTTAGTTGTTGAATATCATCATCAATAAGATTCTCGAAAATATCAATGGCAAAATTGGAAGGAGGTGCAATCAAAGGATGGTCGGGTTCTTGGGACGACTTTTGATAATAATTTGTCATTACTATTACTGCTGATGTTATATTATATATTGTAATATTAATATATTTACATTTATTATTTTATTTATATACAATGAAATTTTACAATGATGCAAATTCTGACCAATGAAATCAGTTTAAAATCTTGAAACCAATAAAAATAAAATTAACCAAAGATTTTTATTCAGTCTATTTTCATATTCATTAAAAGATTACAAAAACACAAACATTACATATACCAAATAAAAAGGAATGCACAAACTATCACATTTACGAAGACGTGGATTACCAGCTGATGCAATAGGTGAAATTAGCGAAGACGAGGAAGAGCCTACCACTCGAAAAGAAGTTGATTTAAGTGACGACGAAGACGAGTACCATTCTGGTTTTGAAGCCAATAGCAGCAGTGATGAAGACTCAGATATCAACAGTGAAAATTCACAAAGTGATTTTGAGAACGAGGACAAGAACAGTTTAAACTTGAAACATTCAAGTAATCCTGTCGGCAGTAACAATAATGGTCATAATGAGGAGGCGTCAAACAAAACCATTTTAACAAAAAACAGAAAAAATTCCAATTCAAACCTTCAAAACGATTGCCTAGATACCGATGAAATTCACAAAACCGATTCAAATATAATTGATGACGAATCTGAACATGATAATAATAATAATCAATCGACAAAAACCACACAAACAAAGCAAGATTATAGGAAAAAACTTGCAGAGGACCCATCATACGTTCCTAAATTTGGATACTTTTGGGGTCATGATGACCGATTTGTCAAGGAAGAAGCTGAAAATCTTCAAGATAATAATAACAAATTTAGAAAATTCCCACCAAGGTAATTTGCTAATTTTCTATATAATCGTTGAGAAATAGTAAACACATTATTCAAGGGATAATCACATTATATTAATTAATTTTGTTGTTTGTTGTTGTTGTAAATAATAAATAGAAATAAAGGAGGGTTCAAAAATCCCCCAACAGAAAATCAATGGGGACATGATGGATATGAAGAATTGATACGTATGGAAGAAGAAGATGATAAAAGAAGAAATAATTTTCAAAGGAGAAGTAGAGATGGTTTCTCACCAGTAAATATAATTTTATTTTTCATATTTAGAGAAATTTTATTGATTGATTGAAATTTTTTTTATTAATCTCATGCATGTTAATATAAATACAGGCAAATCGTCATTGGAGTAGAGAAAGCAACTATTCACAAAATAACCATTCAAGATACCAGGCTCCTGTTGCTCCTAAACGAAGTAATTCAATAGATAGAAAGAATAGGAATCGTCCAACCTATGAAGAGAACAGACGTAATGACTATCGTCAACCAAACAAATCTCAACCACATAACAACAACAGCAACTATAATGATAATTATTATTATAACAATAGAAGATCAGAATTTTCACAACACACGCGTAATATAAATTCGCGAATGCCCCCACCGCCAAAGCCACAACCACAACCACAATCATCATCTTCATATCGTAATAATAATAGCCACCATAACACTAACAACCACCGTCCCAACAGCAGTAACCAATATCACAATAATAGTCGGCATCACAATAATAACTACCATTACGATGATAACTACCATCACAATAATAACTACTATTACGATGACAATTACTATTATGATAATAATTACCGTCACGATAATCATCACAATTATAGTAATAACTACCGTCACGATAATAACTACTATCACCGTTACGATAATAATCACCGTCATAATAATAATTATCGTCATGCTAATGGAAATAACTATAATCATAAAAATAAAAGCGCCTCATACGATGAAGATTTTAACGATGATGGTTATAATAACGATACTAGGAATTTTAATAAAACTCATAATTACAAAAGAGCTCATGGCACATCATCATCATCATCATCATCACTTAAACTAGATGTAGTTAAGAAAAAAGAACCTTTACAAAATGATATTTCACCTTTAAAGGACGAAGCAGTTGAGAAGAAAGACGTAAAAATTGAGAATAATGGCATTTCCTTACCATCATCATCACCATCAGTCGAAAACGACATAGGAAATGTCACCAAGGCTATAAATGAATTGGAAATTGCATCCAATGAAGAAGATGCTCCAGAAATAACTACATGTATCCATCAAGAAAAGGAAATTGATAATGTTGAGCAAAAAGAAGTGAAAAATACGAATATGAAATCTATCGAATCAAAAAATAACGCAAGTACCCAACCAGTTGAACCATCTACTACCTCAACAGCATCTTCATCCAAAAGATATTCTTCAAGAAGGGTTGTTACCACCACATTACCTCAAACTAATACCAATTCAGAAGATAAACCAGATTCTCCAAAATCTCCAACCGAAAATAACACCAATGAACCTCAACATAAATTGAGTGAACTTCCACATACAGGTTTGTTTCAGTCAATTAATTAATATCCATATAAATATATTATTCAATAATAATCCAACCTATTTACCAATTCATTTGTTTATGAATGTATGTTTAATAGCTGTATTCGCAAGACCTTTTAAACCAAAATCGGCAATAGTGAACGAAGAAAAGATACATTCACCTGATGAAAATAATCTAAATGTCGTCAATAACAATTATATTCCACCTATTCCACCTCAGCTCAACAAAGTAATGTTACCATATTATCCAATAAATAATGTACCATTCACACCAATAGGTTTGGCAGACAATAGTATTAAAAGTATACCAATCACTCAGCCTTTACCTCAGCCCCTTCCTCAACCTCTACCCCAACCCCTACTTCAATCCCAATTTCCCTCAGAAAATAATGGGATGGTATACTATTATAATAATCCAAACATTTATTACTACGGCTATCCTCCTTCTCCTTCTCCTTCCCCTTCCCCTGCTCCTCCTATAGGTGATAACAAAACAAACTATCAAAATATTCAAGAAAATACAGGTTTATACAATTATAATCAGAGTTATCATTAAACTAAGATGGTGGTTATACATATATATTGAAATACCAATAAAAATTAAATTCTAAAACCAAAGGAAAAAAAGAAAAAAAAAAGAGCTGGTAAGAATTTATTTATTATTATTTTTTTCTTTTTCTCTATTAGAAAAAAATATGATATTAACTTTCAATATTTATCATAATAATTAGGCTTCACATAATATTATGCAAGAATAATTACGTGTGCATACATCTATATATTTATTTTAAATTCTTTTAAATTTCTTTTAAGTTTCTCTGTACAGCTAAAGACAGAGGATTATAATAATTACTATGCATTTCCGTTTGTTTTATTTTTGGTGTATTTTTAAATAATTGATTGATAAATTAATTAATTAATAAATATATTTTTATATAATGAGTTTATTTCTTATATTATGAAGCATCAAGTCCATCTAAAGAAATCCTTAATATCATTCTATTTATGGAAAGATTTTATACGAATAACGTACAAATTTTTGTGGTATATACATCTGTGAATGAATATGCAACGATAAATAAAATAATTCAGATCCATAAATAACTGACTAGCTGTATCTAAACATGTCATGCATGGTTTCCATTTTAATTTTGGTAAGAAATGGACCTTCGTTATCATGGTATAAAAATTATAGACCAAGTATGTATTTAGAAACAAATCCTTCCAGCATCTCTACTTCGCAACACACATTCGCCAAAACCAACATAATGTTTTGTGAAGTCATTCATTACGTATATTTTTGCGTAGTTAGGGCGCTGACATATATTGTCCAAAAACGTCCGCGTAACAATTTGTCATGCGGACGATACCCGCTCATTTACTTAAACGTCCGAAACTAGTTGCGCAAGCCACAAGTTAACGTGAGAAAGCACCTTTGCCATCTTTATTAATTTAACATATTATTAGAACCAATATTAAATTAAACCAACGCAATTCAAAAACCTTTTGTAAAGCATGTGTTGAAAAATTAGGAGAGGAGGAGGGGAAGAAAAAATGTTTTTCAAAAAGGTCGGATAATTCAGCACCTAAAGTAATGACCTGATTTAACGAAAATAATTAATTTTAGGAATTTCAATCACAATTGTTTAAATGGTTTTGCACAAACGTTAAAACAAGATTGAGAAAATTATTATAAATAATGACCAAGTGAAATTAATCGACCGAGTGGTTAGGTAATTCTATATTAATAATTCAGAGCTTGTTTGAGAGTAGATTATAGGATTCCAAGGTTTTGCTTATTTGCTTTGGCAGAAAGCAATGGGTTTGGTTATTTGCTTTGGTAAAGAAAGGATTTATTGGCAAAAGTATTAAGTGTCAACAGTTATTGCTGATACAAAGAGCTAATAGTTGTTAACCAAAGCCATCACCACATATTGATTATTGTGTTAAAGTAATTGTTGTAAACATACGGGTGACTTCAATCGGCCCAAGAAAAGTAAAAGTAAAGTAAATAAAAAAGGAACTCGGTAGGAGCATTCGTTGCTTCGTAGAAAGGCCGTCTTTATTTATTGTAATTCGTACGATAAAGTGTGATTACAGATTCGCCAAAGCTTCTGGATACAAGAAATAGGCAACAATTTTGTAATTAATTATTTGACAAATGTAGCCAAATTGATTCTTCGAGCAACAAAGCAAATTGATATTGATGAACCCGTCCTGTTCATTCAATTGGACAATAATGGGTTCAATGATACCGCTGTGTTAAATTGTCGTAACGATGTTCTCGGACAAACACAATATGCTCTTATCGCCTACATTGTAGGATGTGGTGGTGTAAACTTTAGGGGTCTGAACACTTTGTTCTTGTTTAGGAATAATTTAGCAATTTTCCATTGTCAATATGATTTCCTCATGTTTTTTTTTTTTTTGTATCTGTTAATCATATTTTTATGGTTTCTTTTTGCTAAAGGACTCGCTATCAATGGGGGTCGTGTATGCTTGCCTTTCAGTCTATAAAATAAACAACTTATCAGCTAATAATAGCACAATCGATTATGCACTTTTTGACTATCCTTTAAGATTTTGTTTGTTACCAAATTTTATTGTTAATCCTATTGTTATTGTATATAAAGTGATTTAATTTTCTTTTCTTTGTGTATTGCAAAACTGTTACAAGAACCCGCAAGTTATTTTTGCTGGATATAAAATTATACTTATTTGCTGAAATAATTATTTGTATATGGATTGTCATAACAGTATTAGAAGTTTTCTAGTGCTTTAGCTTTAAATCATTTTATGTTTTGGATAAAAAAAAGACTCATCTCATTGGGTGAGATGCCCTAATTAATATTAAGTGATGTAACATAATGTCGATCAATAACAAACTTTTTTTTTTTTAAAAATAAAAATATACAGTGAATCTCGATTTAGCGGATACTAATTAAAAATCTCGGTTTTACGGATAAAGTCCAAAGAACGGTTTCAATAATAAACCTTAATAAAAACCTTCTCGATATAGCGGATATCTCGGTTTAACGGATTTTCCCTAATTGCCCAAACTATCCGTTAAATCGAGGTTCACTGTGTATATAAAAAATATAAAAACTATAAATAAAAATTCTATCAGAGCCTTCAACTAAAGAGATACAAACATGAAACCAAGGGAAATTATAGCAAATATACCAAACTTTTAGGCTATAGAGAAGTTTTTTCTTGCCAAATAAAAAAATTTTTTTTTTATATATTCTAAAGAAATTGAAAAAAGATTGCTGATAGAAAAACTTTATAACCAAACAAGATAGTGAAAAAATCTCTCCATAGATTTATTATAGAAGACTTAAGCAATAAAACTATAAAAAGGTTTGTTTATTTTATTATAAAAAAAAAGTTATCATGGTTTAAAGTTACCATAAAAATTTACATTGTAACTGATAAATTAATAGAAGTTTCTTTTTATAATTAATGTTTTCAAAAAAATCTATTTTTTGTTGAATTTCATTGTCAAATTTACATATGTTGGTAAAGATAGTAAAAAAAATCCGCACATAATAATTTGATGATCAACAGCCATCGAACATGTTGCTAACCATGTGCATGTCAAGCATTATTTTTAATTCTGGTATAACACACACGCGATGGGATGGGATCTAAGGCAACTGTGACATGGGTCACAGTCGCTCACACATATTGTACTTTGTAAATTAAATTTTTTGCCTATATACATCAAAGGGCTGGTTATGTTTAATAGGGTCAAATCTATTGGTAATAGTAGTCAACTATTTATTAGGGAACCAAAAATTGTGTAAACAAAACTATATAGTAAATCTTTTGTATTTAGTCAGTTTATCAGTTAAATCAATTGATTGGTGATTTTGTTACTCGCTATAGTAGACAGTTTCAAAATTTTTAATGTTAGTATATATTATGGGTCAAATTATGTTCTTTTTCTAATGTTATTGCAAAAATTAGTCAGCCGCGAATGTTTGGCCAGCTTATCAAGACCGCCTTACAGAGAGCACGTGACATAAAAATTTTTTGTGTTAAAAATTTTATTAAATAAATTTACTATTACAAAATAAATATATATATATAAAAATATGACTATTTTTTCTAAATTATCAGGCAATAAATTATACAATCAATGATATAACCTGATGATACAAAAATGAAATAATAAAATAATACAAACAAGAATATTTTTTCTAAATTATCAGGCAATAAATTATATAATCAATGATATAACCTGATGATACAAAAATGAAATAATAAAATATCGCGACAAGAATTTCTAAATCATGTTATCATTATGATTATAAATAAAAATCATACGTTACTAAAAGTAGTAATGATGAACTTTTATTTAATGAAATGTCACGTGAGGCTGACTTATCGAGAACAATTTACAACTTATCGCGCGACTTTATATAGGTTGGCTGACTTTTAAATAGGGAAAAAAAGGGCTGAAAAATTTTGGCTGAGTTAGGCCAAAACCGACTTATCGAGTCTATCTATGTATATAACAAACGGGAATTTTTCGTCTGTGAAGTTTACGGGTCCTATGGCTATATACTAATATATATAATAATAACAGATGTTACGTTTCACATACTACAGTTACCATTTTCCATTTACAAAAAGTAATTTCAAAAAAATCTTCGACTTGTAACAAAATGTCTTCAAATGAAATTTCAAAAGAAAATAATGTAGTAAATTCAATGACTACTGATAAAGGTGACACTACTACTACTACTAATAGTAGTAGTAGTGCCAGTCCTCATATTTTCAATTTACATTTAGTTGATATAGATAAAGTAAGTGCTATTGCTCATTTCTTTAATTGTTTCATTTTAATTAATTTTTTTATTCTTGAATAAAAATTATATATTTTAGGAAATGATAAATGCTTGGAAGGATGAATTATCAAAACTGCCAAAGAAATATCACTCAACTGATACAACAACATCTTGTTTAAAAGTTCATATTTACGAAAACACTTTTCAATCAGTTCTACAATCCAACGGTGATATTCAATGTTTAGTTTCACCTGCGAATAATTTTGGTTTAATGGATGGTGGTATTGATTATTACATTTCAGAATATTATGGTGGTGTTCATAACCTTATACCAGTTGTACAAAAAAGAATTGAAAGAAATTGGTGTGGTGAACAAAATGTTGGTAGTTGTTTGTTGGTTGATGTTAGAGATTTGGTTGATGGATTAAAAAAAAAGGAAAATGTACAAAAAAATTATCCTAGTTATATTGCACATTGTCCAACAATGAGAATACCAAAAAAATTAAAATCCGATGATATTGTTTATAGATGCACATGGGCAATGCTAACATCCATTAGAAAACATAATTTGAAAATATTAGAATCAAATAATGGCGGTGGTAGTAAGAAACAACATGAATGTATAAAGAATGTTCTTTCTGCAGGTTTTGGTACAGGAACTGGCAGATTCCCTGCAAAACTTTGTGCAAAACAAATGCTTTTAGCGGTACAAAATTTCATTGAATGTCCTGCTAATAATAACGCTTTTGGCAACGATGGTAATGATGGACCAACAACAACAAAAAATTACAAATATGAGGAAAGTGATTTGTTGGTGCAATGGTCTTATGCAAGAAAAGTTGAAAATTCTGTACAATCCTTACTTCAGAAGGAATAATTTTTTTAGAAAATATTTCTAATCTCGATAATATTGTTGATTTTTTTTTGTAATTCTATTATAAAATTTGTAAAGAAAAAATTTATAGGCGTCCACTAAAAAAAAATTTTTTTCAATGTTATTTTTTTTAACAAATACCTGTGTCTAATCAAATTAGTCCATTTGGGCTGACAGATCTGCTTTTCTTTCCATGTAGCTGTTAGTTCCTGAGAACAACATTTAATAGTTATAACCAATATTTTTGTTTCTACTATTATTATTATTATTATTATTATTATTATTATTATTATTATTATTATTATTATTATTATTATTATTATTATTATTATTGTTACTTTTATTTCTTTTCATATGTTTATTAATAACAAAACGTATTTCTATATTTATAACCTCCTGACAACGTGTTTTCCTTGATTAAATCATTCATGTTTTCCATGACACTACATGAGATTTTTCTTCTTTTATATAAAACTTCTTGTGATCATAAAGGTCTTTTGGTATAATTCCTTTATCAGATCAATGAACATGAGTTGGTTTTTTTTATCTTGACACATACTTTTCCATCAAACATATTTCCAGGAGCCAACTGGTTTATTTCTTTTATTTGTTTTTCTTTTTGTCTCTTGAATTAAATTATCAATTGTTTTTTTTTTACATATCCAAATATGTGAAAAATCTTCATTTCCTTTGTTGCAAAGGCAACATTTCCAATTATCATCATATATATCTGGATTTAGTGATTTGAGGTTTCAATAGTTGAAAAATGGTTTATTACTAGCATTAAATGATATTTTGGTGATTAGAATTTAATATTTACCAAGCTATCAGCCAATTAATTAAAGTTTGTTCTGATTTGTCATATTTGCTGTTTCTACTTTTTTTGTTTCCAAATTAAAAGGCCTTTTGCTTTTGAGCAACTTTTTAAAAAAAGCCTTAATGATATTTCAACTCTTATATTATTGAAATTAAAACTTTTGATGATTAGTCATATTTGATTTCCATCAGATCAGAATCCAAACCTAACTTTACTAAAATGTCTACTTTTTCATTAAAGAAAATACCATCATATACTTTCACTTTTTTATTTATATTTTTTGTTTCAATTCAGAAACTATTATATTTTGTATAATACCCCATAATAAATTGTTAATGATTTTACAGTAATTTCACTATCACTTAATATGATAATTTTACTCTCAGGTGGAGAGTCAAGTATTGCAGATATTATAGCCAACACCTCTGTTCTTGTTGAGGAAGGCCAATTATCAACTGATGCTAAGAAGGTTAATTGTTCATTTTTTGAATTGGTTTGTATCCAATCAATACCCATTTAGTGTGAATTTTATCAAAGGATCCACCAATATAAATTTCCAAATTCAGGGAATTGTTTAATACTTTACTGTGTTCTATTAGTTTGTGACTACAACTGTTGTCCTTGATGTATTTCTTAATAATGTCCACAAATTTTATTATATGTGGCCTCAATTTATCATGTGATTAATTTATTGAACAATAATATTGCAGGGATATTTCCATATCAGGATTCGATTCCAGAATAGTCTGCTGATCAATTCATTATATGTTACAAATGAATTCACAAGATACTTCTTGTTATATCTATGTTACATTTTCTAAAAATAAATCAGTTTGTAATAACTGAAAAAAAT